AGACTTACCCCAAGAGGCCTGAGGATAGTAGTACAGGCTAGGAGAGTTAGCCGGTGGTGCAGGCCCAGGAAAGCAGAGCAAGCACTCAGCTTTTTAAAGTGGGATTTTGGGATCAAATTTGTATCCTCATGCTTGCAAGGCAAGCATTTTATTTCATCCCTGACATAAGAATCATAAGGACCGTTGATGACTTTTTTGAATATCAACTATTTTATCACATATTCAAAAATTATATTTTTCTAGTACTGTTATTATCTCTATATTTGTTAAATAGAATTTTTCTGTAAAGAAAGGATTATTCTCATGAAGAGAAGGATAAGTGGTTAATTCTCTTCCTTTACTTACTAATTTCCAAAGAAAGAAGTTATATTGCGTGAGGTTTTACTGCTCTCTCTCTGAGAATAGCCTATAATGGAAGTCTTATATATTTGCTGTGTTCTTGCTGGATACAGTTTTTATTCTTTCTGATACTCAAATTGTTTCATTTGGTCTTTGGAAGCTCCTAAATCTGACTTCTTTTGACATTGCTCCATTAATCTTTAAATACTTTTTAATATTCTGGTCCCAAAATGTTGCAGTTGACCTTGTACAGCCAGTGAGTGAAATCAGAAAACATGTACTTCTTAAAGGTGCTCTGATTCCTTTTAGTAGGAATTTGTGTTTAGAAACCAAAGCCTGGGGACAAGGGGTGCTTCCTGCCACTATGAGGTCATTGCTTCTAGGTCTTTATGGCAATTAGATTTTAAAATGCATTTTTAAATATCAGAAATTAATATTTCCAATGTTCATTTGGAAGTTTGAGCGGTTTTTTTCTTCTCTTGAAGCTTTTCTTTACCCTAGACCGTCTTACTTTCTAATGTATTTGTTTTAGTGTAGATGAATCATAAAATGTTTTCAAAATAGCAATGTGCTACTACCACCTTGTTGAATAAAGGTTAAGACATCAGCACTGTGGTTCTTGTTTTCAGCTTTAGATATTTTTGTTCTTAATGCACTGAGAAGTTAAAAAATTTGGACTTTAATTAATAAGTGGCAGTGCAGAGGTTCTACAGGATATATTTGACTATACCTCCCATCCTCTCTGGCCATTCTGCAAAAATGAGGGTAGAGCTGGAGGGAAAAACCAATGAAAGAAATGCATTGATGATGAAGAACAAACCCAGAGAAAAACAAATCCAACAAGAATAAGAGAAAAATCCCGAGAAGAGCCTGAGAAAGAAGGTGAGCTAGGGTCTGATCTCAAGTCTGGTGGGAGTGGGCACAGCTTCCACTTCCTGCCCTAGGTTTCTTCCTTTTCTGTACCCATGTTTTCCAAGAGCCCTCCCTGGATCAGCAGATCAGCAGGTAAACATTGCTTGGGGACTTTTCTGGGCTGGGAAAATGACTCAGTGGGTAAAGATGCTTGCCACATCAATGTGAGGATCTAAGTTTGAATTTCCAGAACCCAGGTAAAAGCTCGATGCAGTACCCTGTGTCTGCAATCCTAGTACCAGTACAGGGAGATGGGAAGTAGAGACGGAGGGTCCTCAGAAGCTCCCAGGCCAGCTAGCTTGGCCTACTCAACAACAAAGAGATTCTGTCTTAAACAAAGCAGAAGATGAGACTTAACACTGAGGTGCTGATTTCCATATGTGAATTGTGGCACTCACACACACTCACACATACAAACACATACACATATATACATATTCACACATACATATGTATACACATACACATACAAACACATACACATATATACATACACACATACAATTCACAATCTCAGGTTCCACCCTAGACTTACACAAAACCCCTGGCAGGGGCCCCTCATCCATGTTGCCACAAACTGCTAAGAGTCTCAGATTCGTGTTCACATGTGGCATTTAGTGCTCCACAGCTCAAGTGTAACTCTACTTCCTTCAGAATTTCAAGAAGCCTTTTGGAATACAGAAAGAGGGATTTTAATAATTTTGTTCCCTTGCCCAACACACATAAACTTACCCATAAATAATGGGCAGACCCTTTCTATTAAATATAATAGAAAGTATTGAACATTCAATATAATTGAACATACATGAAATTGTTTGTGTATCTCACTCTACCTCTTGCTGTTTAGTCAACATATTTATTATATATGAGAATAGGCACCTTTTGAGGTAATAAAAGATAAGAGATAAAGAATGAGAAAAAAGGAATAGAAAAATAAACAAGGAACTTGCATGGATCAACACAGAAATGTGTCACAAATTAAGGGATTCAACCATTCTGAAGCACTTAGTTGTATCTCGGTTTTTAAGATCTGCTAAGATGTAGGTACATAGAGGTTTCCTCTTAGTATCACACTCAGGACACAATATGCCTCAGACTCAGTTCTTAGATCTGTACAATGGGAATGGTTGTAGACTACCTTATGAAGTTTCTAAGAGACATTCATGAAACTTTCATAAATGGCTAAAAGTGATGTAATTATAAAGCATCATGAGATGTTGTCCATTTAAAAATAATTATTGTGGAGTGAAAGCTCTGAGGTACAAAGTTTAAGAGCTAACAAAAATAAGACTGGTTTCTATTGAAGAAACACCTCTCGAATTTGAGGTGTGTTAATGACCAGGCTAATACACGAAGGGCCACTGTGGTACAAGCAGCATGCTGATTTCGCCATTTTAAAGCATCTGTATTTTGCTGAGCTAAAGTTATTATTGCTTTTGTTGTCTCAGACTATACACATGTGTGTTGTCTTGACCTGTGTTCTATTTTTCCCACACAACACAGCATGGCACCCAACATAGCATGGCTGGTCAGGAAGGAAAACATTGGGAAAGTCTCTAGCATTATTAGACATGAAGTATCAGTATTGAACAGAATTTTGTGGGGAAAATGAATTATGTTTATTATAATTGTAATAATGATTCTATTAATCTTTGGATCTTGTATACTTAAGTTCTGTTTAAATTTTATTTCTTCCCATTTACAGTCAATTTGTACTTAGATAGTCCTACGACAATCTAATTCCATCAACCTGGGTCCCCTTGATCATCTCTCAAGACCTAAACATCTACCAGATTGGGAATCCTAAACTCCCCTACACCCCAATTTACTCAATGCCTATTTCTCCCTAACTCCCCTTGCATCTTCTCCCTTACATCTCTATCCAGACACGAGTCAAGGAGTTCCTCTCCTCACTACACCTGACTGCTATCCAATAAACCACAGATGTACTTTCTAGGTCCGTTAGCTAGGTCTAGTGGAGAGGTACCCCAAGTGTCACATCTGAAGCCCACTCAAGCAGGAAGTAGTAATATTGGTCATTGACCAAATTCTCTGGTGGCAGTTAGGGTTACCTCTTCAGAGGGAGGAATGATGACAGGAGATAGAAATAGGACAGGCAGTTTAGGGATGGGGTTTTGATTCATGTACTTGGCCATGAACTGGAAATATCCTTGGTCCTGTCCTGACTAGAGGCTAGAAATGCCAGAAATATTTGGGACTATGATCCATAGTCTTGTTCCTAAATGATTCGAAAGTTACTTCTTTGTGGCAGGAATGTTTCCAGCTTTTGAAACTTTGGACTCCACCTCCCTCTCCTTAGTAACACTAGAAATGAAAATGAGCTTTGCTATTCCTTGGAATTTAACTTACCATATAAAAGGAGAAGTTTTCTGGGCTTTGTTCTAAGTTCCTCCTCTAACTCTGGATGGAGACCCAGCTACCCAAAAGGAGATGAGAGGGATAATTATCTGCTTAACAAGATGATGCTCTTTTCCTCCCTAGAAGCCTCTCCTCAGTGCACCCGCTTCCACCAGGTAGCAACATGGAGCCTCTGCCATGAGGCCTGCCCACTTGTCAGGACTCAAAAGAGCACATTTTCTTTCTCCTTTCTTTGCCCCTTCTATGGGGGCACTGATGGAAGGCCAGCATGCTTTCCCTGGCACTCTGAGCTCTCTTTCTCTGAAGCCCCCTCTCCTTTCGCCACGTGGCTGCTTGTCTACCTCCATTGCAAACAGCCTGACTTTTTCTCTTTCTCTTCTCCATCTCCCTTCCCCTGGCAGCTGCCAAGACTTACAGCTCCCCTTTTGTTTTTCCCTTAAACGCTAATAAAAATTTCCTTGAGCTTTTTAAAAAGCTTAGCAGTCTGAAGACTTGCTGGCAGTTGATGGCTGCGGGGGGAGGGAGCACTACTTTTCTTTGAGGGCTGGCCACTGAGGCTACCCATGGCCCAGTGGATAATTCCACAACCATGGGCAGCACTAACTGGACTCCACGGATTATTAAAACAAGAGGACATGAGGTAAGGAGACATGTTAGAGGGTCCCACAGAAGGAGTTAGAGGGAGGGTCACCATCTGCTTATAAAGCTGTTTCCATTTCTCCTTCAACATGCCATTTGAATGCAGTCCATTCCGTTTATGTTTATAGTCTGGCTAGATTTAGGATTTTTATAGTTTTTGTTGAGATTTTTTGCCATAACCTAACTTTTTCTCTGTACTTTGGTCTCTTCCTTCCACAGTCCTTCTTCCATAAAATACCTGACTATAATAGCAAAATTCACAGTGTACTTTTTGCGCGGCAACCACTATTTCAAGCACTTTCCACACATGATCTCATTCCATCTTCACAAGACACAGAGATCAATCATTTCACTCCCTAGTTTCACGATCTTCCAAAGACCCTCATTATCTCCCCCACAAAATAGAAGACTATCATAAGGACTTCAGTATAGGCCCTTCAGACAAATCTCCTAACACTCCTTCCTGTTTTCTCTAGGTTCAACAAAATAAGACTGTTGTCATTTCCCTAATATATCATTTTTGTGAAGTTTTTTCAGAATTTAACACAGGGTCCTGAATTTGCATTCTTCCATCCCTCCCTGTCCCTTCCACCTCTTCCCATGTCCCCTCTCCACTCCCTCTCAATTTCCTGTCTTCTTCTTTTATTGTTTTACACAAAACACACACATACACACACACACACACATATACACACACACTCCACTTAGTCCATTTAGTGGTGTTCTTGTGTAAAAATATGAAATACATCACAAATTTGTGTGTCATCCTTGCACAAGAGGCCATGCTAATACCGGTATAATTCCAATTTTAATGCATGTGCTGCCAAAGCGAGCACATTTTGTATTTTTACCAACATCTTCACTCATCTTTCCAAACTTTACCGCTGCTTGTTCTTTAAACTCCAACTTAAACTCCATCTTCTCCACCACCAAAATAACTGTTTAATGAAGAAAAATAAGTATTAACAAATGAATATTCTTTTCACAAAATTTTACTTCTATGCTCCCAGAGCATTTCACATCTCTTATACAAGCCTAGACTTTTATCTTTGAGCAAAGGTTAATATGCCTATTTCTTCCTCACAATTGTAATCTCCTTGAGGATAAAGACTGTTTCTTTATTTCTTCAGCTCAGTGTACCAGCCCTTTTGACACAGTGTTTAGAATTCACTTGTACATGCACCCATTCACTCAAAAGAGTTGATAAAGACCTACTATGTTCTAGGAACTACAGATGAATGGCAAATAAAGTTAGGCATTGCTGTTTGGTGGTTGTGGTTTAGATGGCTATAAAAATCTATTTATGAATGATTAAAATTCAATATGAAAAGTGTGAAAATAGTAATTATTCATGCCTACTAAGGGTACAGACAAGTGGCAAGGGACACCTGAGCCAGGTCTTCAAGAAAGAGTAGGAGTTCAGAAGGGGAGGAGGGTAATCCTGAAACAGCATGCTAAAGAGAATGACAGCGGCGCAGCATGAAGTGCAGGCGGAGGCGGTCTTCAAGAAAGAGTAGGAGTTCAGAAGGGGAGGAGGGTAATCCTGAAACGAGAAACAGCATGCTAAAGAGAATGACAGCGGCACAGCATGAAGTGCAGGCAGAGGTCAATAATTCAGATTCAGGTCTGGGGTGGTGGCTCAGTTGATAGACCACTTGCTGTGCAAGTGTGAATACCCGAGTTTGGATCTCTAGAGCCCAAGTAAAAGTCAGAAGCAGTAGGACACCTGTATGTAATCCCAGTGCACCGCTATGGGTATATCAGATTGTTGAAACAGGAGAATCCCCTGAAGCTCAAGGGCCCGTTAGCTTAGCATATACATTGGAAAAAACAAGCAATCTTTCAAATAGATTTCTATCTCAAATAAGGTGGAGGGTGATCACTGACACCCAAGGTTTTCCTCTGACCTCTACCATGCAGAGTGGCATATAAGTATCCACAGACATATGACACCCCCCACACACATATCACATACACACATTCACACAAAATCAATTAATTGAATTAATTTAATTTAATAATTTTGAATCATTAGAACTCACCAGTTAGTTCTGTGGAAGGAGATCAAGAAGACAGTGGATCACAGAGACTAGGTAATATCTCTGGAGAAATTTAAGGTAACAATTCACTAGTTATTTGTTGGATTAAATAACATGTTTCTAGATAACTGAATAATATTTACTTGCATTTGTGAGATTCTAGAATTTCATGCTACATATAAATCAATCCCTGTTACCTAACTACATTTGTAGTTAAACTCAATTTTTACAAACTGGTTTTTGGCACCATGTTTCTCAAAGGTCAATTCTCATTCATTAGCAAAAATTGTCATGAAATTAAGCAGTCCTTCTAGGAGCAGAAGGGACATGTGAGATGCACGAAATTAGCAAAGGCAGCTTCCTCCCAACCCTAGAGGCTGTGATGCAATCCCCTAAGGAAGGTGGAACTGTTAAGAATGATGTAAATCACATCTGCTTTCTAAGTTTAAGAGTTCTGTTTTTTTCCTTCTTTTCCAATGCAGGAAGTGCTTGTTCTTGAAAGTATCCATTGAGCTATTAATTTTCTTTAGCACAATGTATGCAAGGAATTATAATTTCAAGCTGAAGTGATTATATCAGTATTTTTTTAATTAGTTATTTGGACCTAAACCTGGCCATTTAAGAAGAAAATCTAAGATCAGTCATTTGACATATAACTGCTCCCCTCCCCTGCCACACACATATTCACCAAATGTCCAAGCACTTTGAAGGCTTATTTAGCCAAAGGAGAGGTTTAAGAGTCCTAGGTTGCCAAGCCTCAGCCAACTCTGCACTGTGTAGCTGCTGAATCCTGCCCCAACCTGGGCTGCGAGGAGTGGGTGGAAATGGCTATCCCTGTGAAGAAGCTCTTGGTTGGACATTATAATGAGCTTTATGCTTAGGTCTAGTTCACAATCTTGAGCTAATAGCTTCCCAAGTCACTGCCATATAACAGGCCTGGGGAAACATGAGTTTACAGCCACAAACTGCTATAGAACCTATTTTCCTTGGACTCCCTGTAAACTCCTGCACTGAGGAATTCTGCCCAGTTAGAGAGCGGAGAGGTTGCATGCAAGTCAAGTCAACGTTTCAGATTTGTAGAACTTTCCCAGCTCAACTCCACTGCTTCCAAATAGGCTGTAGGGGCCCAAACTTGGAAGCAGATTTTGATTTGGTTGCTAAGAATGCATACACGCCCAGCTAATCTTTGGAAGAGGGGATTCCTTGAGTCTGGAGTGGAGAGTCTCGAGTTGTGCTTGGTGGCTTGGAGTAGTACATGATTTTCAGTTTGAAGGCATTTTGGAAATGTCTCCACTCCTTTGTGCAAAGCTACTTTTAGGCCCCAGTGATCACCTGACATTATGCAGGGAGAGACTTTGTGATGCTAGATTTGTTCAATCAATGTACATACTTGACATACACGTGAGGGATGAGTGAACTTCAAGCATGACATAAAGATTTTAAAATGAAACACTTCTGGTGAAAAGTCTCATGAAATACTTGTAACAATAGAAAATGCGTGCTACATAAACCTTTATACTGTACACTACATATCGGTATACTACATAAAATCTGTATACTACATAAATCTTTATACTGTACACTACATATCTGTATACTACATAAAATCTGTATACTACATAAATCTTTAGTATTTTGTCCTTCAGTCACACAGTAAACAACAGAAATATTCCAATAACAGCAATGTTATAACAAATCTTTTAAATTTTATTATACATACTCTTCATTAAAACAATGTAGCAGTAAACATGGATGAATTTTGCAATTAAAATCAAAACTGCTTCTCCTAATTTGAAAAAGAAGTGTTGACGATTATATAGATTTATTCCAAGTTGAGTTGCTTCTCAAATTCTGATCAATGTTTCATTGTTCCCCTCCCGCCTCCCTTTGGACTCAACAATTTACTCAAGACTCTAAAGATTGATGCAGTCAGCTTTCCAAAGCCGCACATATTCTATGTGTCCAAGGAAGATAGTGACATGGTTGATGGAAAACCCAACCAGAAAGAAAAGAACAGACACATGTTCAGTCATGCTGGATTAGAAATATCACCCAATCCTAGGCTTCAGGTTTTTTATGAAAAGAATTAGGCAACTTCTAAGATTCCGTCTTTGAGACTGTAGATCTCTGTCAAGTAGATTAAATTTTCAGGATGCCAGTCCTATCCCAAGTTTAAGGATGATCTTCTGCGGCTGTGCTGAAATTGACATATGCTATAATCCCAGCATGGGAGACCAAGATTGGTACTGTGAAGCTGGGATATATAATGTTTGGGATAGTTTCTTACTTCAAAAAATTAGTTTAGTTATAAAGATCAAAGCATTCTTTGACTTATAGTAATTAAAAAGGAAATGGGGAGAGAGTATAAATTCAACAACCCAGCAGTGTGAATACCAGTCTGAGAGAGAAGCCAAGTTTCAAAAACCTAAAAGCCAGTAGTTATGGCACACAGATGACTGCTGAGGTGAGCTGTACTCGTGGTCTAAACTGCTGATACTCTGCTGCAGCACGGCTCCACCAGGTGGGTGCCGTTCTGGTTGATTAGAAATAGGAACTTGGTGTCACCGCTTTTATAATTGGATGTCTGGGGTATATGGTAAAATTGCTTACACTTTCCTTCCACCCTTCTTTTACAGAAACAAATTTCTTTCCTCTCCCACAGACTGACAAAATACAGACTGCTTTTTGGCTCACAAGTACCACATGCTGGTCATACACAGCTGTTTATGAAAATGCAGACTTTGGCTGCATGAAAGAGCATTTTAGCTGGCGCTCAAGTCATTACCTCTAAATTCCAACTTTAAATTTGGGTTATATAATAGGGGTGGTTGATTCTTTATAACTCCTCCATAAAACAATATAAATACACCTAATGTGAAGGAAAGTTACAGATCTCACTTTATGGAGGCCACTAAATTCTTTCACACTCCATAAATAACAGCATTCGTGCTGAGAGTCACTGCACAGATAGAAAACAGTGTATGCACATGCATTTCTTAATCTCTACTGACAGAGATCACCAAAGTGAAATTTGTTTAGAGGGATAAAGATACCTGAAGTCTGTAAGGCATGTATGTGATACTCAGGGAAAATACCCTTTTGCCTTATGAAGTAGGGAGCCAGCCAAGGGCTCGCCCGCACAGGAAGCCTGTGGCTCTGGTGCGTCTCTATGCAGTGCTTAGTTTATTCACCAGGGGTCATCAAAGGTCTGGGTTTTCTTTGTCTACTTGTTGACTCATGCACACTGTACACTTAAGGACCGAATTCTTCAGAACTGTGCGTGAAGACCTGCGCCTTGCTACTTCCTCTCCCTACCACTCCAGCCCACCCCTACTATGTAGCATAGAAGTATTATGCTTTATACATTTTACCAACACATTACAGTCAGCAAGTCCATTAGATACATCCTGGAAAATGCCTTTTATAATGAAACCAACTTGTTCAACACAGAGAAACAGGCAATGTAGTACTTAATTAGATTTTTTTTTTAATTTAAAAAAAGCATTACCAAAGTTAGAAAATGAAAGGTTTATCTCACTGTTGTTTTCTAGATTCATGAACCAAATTGGAAGCTTGGATAGAAAGGGAGTTGCAACTCTGTCTTCTTAGATTTTTACTCAGTATCTCAGGATTTGGGATCCTGAGGTCACAGCAGACCAAAAATAAGCAAAAAAGATAAAAATAATAAAAATTAAACCTATGATGGGTGGCAAGTGAGTTTTCAATGATTTTTGGCACCAACATGAAGGACAAGGTCCCAATGGTCTTGGTGATCCTGGTTGCATCTGGACCCTTTG